TACAGAAGTCGAGGCGTGAGGTTACCAGTGCGTGCACGACGGTCTCGAGATCCCTTACTTCCAGAAAAGGGCGCAGCTGGCGTGTCAGCCGAAGCTGATAACAGGCACTTCTGACTGTCACATTCAACTGATTTGTCATCAGGAGTGACAAGTCAAGGAGCACCCCCAGACTGTGAACACAGTCACTGGAGGAGAGTGAGACCCCATCCAGGACTGGAGGTTGCAACCCAATTCTTGGTTTCGGGGCCGCTACTGTGAGCACCTCCGTCTTATGTGGATTCAGTTTCAATCTGTTCTTCCTCATCCAGCCCATTACCGCCTGAAGACATTCATTGAGAGAAGAGGTGCCATTGGAATTCAAGGCTGACGAACGAGACACAGAGAAATAGATTTGTGTGTCATCAGCATACTGATAAACCGAGCACCATAACTCCGTACAATCTCACCCAGCGGTTTCATATAGATGTTAAATAACATCGGGGATAAAATAGCTCCCTCTCTTACTGGAACTACAGTCCCCAAGCAGCACCCTCTGGCACCTGCCCGAAAGGAAGGACTGGAACCACTGCAAAGCAGTACCCCCGATACCTAACCCCTTCGGGCTGCCCAAGAGGATGGCATGATCTATTGTATTGAAAGCCGCTGAGAGGTCTAAGAGCACCAACAGGGTCACACTACCCCTGTCAATGCTCAGACGCAGATCGTCGGTCAAGGCAACCATGGCAGTCTCAACCCCAAAGCCTGTCCTGAAGCCGGTTTGAAATAGGTCTAGATAATCAGTTTCATCCAAGACAGCTTGGAGCTGAAGAGCAACTGCCCTCTCAATCACCTTGCTAAAAAATGGCAGCAATGACACAGGCCTATAATTTCTCAAATCCAGGGGGTCAAGGGAAGTTTTTTTCAGAAGAAGCCTAACAGCCACTTCCTTCAGACAAGATGGAACATGTCCTTCCCTGAAGGATGCATTGATGATATCCATGAGGAATTTCACCAATGCATCCCCCCCCAGACGGCCAGCCATGATGGGCAAGGGTCGAGAGGGCAGGTTGTCTTCCTCACCTTACCAAGCAGCTTGTCCACATCCTTGTTACTCACAGATTGGAGCTGATCCAGTATAACTATATTGACGGAGTCACTCGATGACTCGCCTATAGACTCTGTTTCAACGGTGGCATTTAAGTCGGCTCTTATCTGAGAGATTTTATCTGCAAAGTAGTTATTAAATGCCTCACAGCAGGCAGTCATAGGGTTAAGTAAGGGGTTAGGCACAGGAAAGACCTGCGCCATCTCCCTCACCACCCTGAACAGCTCTGCTGGACGGGACTCTGCAGACACAATATGTGCAGAGGAGAAGGCTCTCTTCGCTGCACGTATTGCCTCCCGATAGGAACCAAGAAAAGTCCTATGGCGAGTTCTGTCAGATAAGAGTCGAGTCTTCTGCTACCTGTGCTCTAGCCATTGTCCAGTCTGCTTCATCCTCCTAAGCTCCTGTGTATACCAAGGCCTACGGTTAGAAGCAGGTCAGCAAGGGCGCTTCGGAGCGATCATGTCGATAACCCTGGTAAGGTCGGTGTTCCAAGTATTAACCAGGGCTTCGACAGGATCACCGGCATTCCCAACCATTAAACCCTCCAAGGCTTTCTGGAATCCCACTGGGTCCATTAGCCTTCAAGGGCGGACCATCCGAATTGGTCCACCACCCCGGTGGGGCAGATACTGGCTCTGAGTTCCATCTTGACCAGGAAATGATCCGTCCATGACAATGCGGAGGTATTTACTACCTCCGCCTACGGATATTTCTGTTCCATACTAAAGACCACATCGAGTGTATGACCTGCACAATGTGTGGGCCCAGTGACCAATTAGGATAGGACCATGTTTGTCATGGTCTCCATGAACTCCCGAGCCGCGCCTGTTAAACTGGTCTCGAGTGGGATGTTGAAGTCCCCCAGGACTAAAAGTCTGGGGGACTCCAGCAGCAGCTCAGAGACCAGCTGTGTCAGCTTGGTCAGGGAGTCTGCTAGATGATGGGGTGGTCGGTAAACTAGCAGAATCCCCAAACTATCCCTGGTCTTCAGGCTAAGGTACATGCACTTGAAGTGCACTGTATTCCGGACAGGTATCCTGGTCAAGGTTAAGGTGTTCTTATGAAACAGAGCCACACTGCCCCCCCACCCAGTTCCCCTCACCTGCTCACTAACAGAGTACCCAGCTGAGAGGGCCTGTGCCCATGTAGCTGTGCTATCCTCTCCCAGCCAGGTCTCTGTGAAGCAAGCCAGGTTGGCATTCTCATCCAGGAGGAGATCCTGGATGATATGGGTCTTATTTTTAACTGACCTGGCATTGCAGAGGAGCAGAGTGAGGTTCTGTGGAATGGTTGGTCTGCTCTCCAGGCCATTCATGGAGACAGAGGGAACTGAAGGCGGGATAGCTACCAGACAGGGATCCTGCCTTCTTTTGTAACATCTGTTCCCTCTGTTACAACCATACCTTCCATTCCCCAGTGCAACTCCACTTTATGATGACACCATAATACTAGCAGAGAACCTCACAGACCTAGAACAACTACTAAGGAAGATCAAAGAAGAAAATGGGAAGGCAGGCTTCCTGTTGAACATGAAGAAAACAAAAATAATGACCACAGAGAACTTACTCACATTCAAATTAGACAATGAGGAAATAGAAATAGTAAAAGAGTTCTTATTGTTGTGAGCCACTTCAGTTACTTGACAGAGGGGTGGGATATAAATAAAATTTATTATTATTATTGTTATTGTTATTGTTATTGTTTTATTATTCTCATATCTGGGGTCAAACATTGATCAGAATGGGGACTGCAGCCAGGAAATCAGAAGAAGATTAAGAATGGGGAGGGAAGCTATGAAGGAACTAGAAAAGATCCTAAAATGCAAAGACATACAATTCAGCACAAAAGTCAGAATCATACAAGCCACATATTCCCTCTTACCATGTATGGATGTGAGAGTTGGACAATCAAGAAAAAAGATAGGAGGAAAATCAACACATTTGAGATGTGGTGCTGGAGAAGAGTGCTGAGGATTCCATGGATAGCCAAAAGGATAAACAAATGGGTCCTAGAGCAGATCAAGCCAGAAATATCCCTAGAAGCCAAGATGAAGGTGAAGAAAAGTAGAAAGAGGGGAAGGCCACATGCTAGATAGATGGAATTTATTAAAGAGACCATGAATATGTGTTTGCAGGAATTGGGCAGAGCTGTAGAGGACGAGGGGGGGGGGCTGGAGATGTCTCTTCCATAGGGTCACTATGAGTCGAGATCAATGAGAAAGCAGATAACAATAACAACAAAGCCACCTTTAGTCCCAAAGTAGTGAAAAGTCGGGATATAAATAAATAAATAAATAAATGATACTGTATTAATTAATTAATTAATTAATTAATTATTGTTATTAACATTCTGTCTTTTTCCAGTCCTAGACAGAAGGTAACTTACCAAAAAATGAAAATTTACCTGATACCAAGTTTTAAAATGGCACACTGGAGCTCTGGTGCCACAACAAATTGGAATGCCCAGGATTCCATAGCATTGAGTCGTGGCAGTTAAAGCGGTGTCAAACTGGATTATTTCTAAAGTGTGTATACAGACATAGTGCATAAAAGTCTGTGAATCAGTGTCTGTGTATTCAGTCACATTGAATATGCTGAATTAGGCTTGTCACTTCTTTTTTCGGAGAGGTGTCAGGACTGGTTATGAACTCCAGAAGTGGATCTGTTAGGAAATATGAGGGGGGTATGGTGATATAGAGATATTTTGAGATTGGGAAATAAAAGGATAATAAAATAGGGATATAGAGAAATGAAGAGGAATTGAAAGGGAGAGTTGCAATCTGAATAAAATGTAAACCAGGGAACAGATGGGGCTATAGCTGGGGCAATTGGTAACTTTATGACCTGGCTTACTTTCTAGATCAAGACTTTGTTGACCAAATGTGTGATACCTTCTTTCCATAGATAGATAGATTGATATAGGTGATAGGGAAAAGTAGAGAGTTTAAAGAGCTTTTAGATGTGCTCCAAAGTGTGTGAACCATGGGCTGAGGAAGGAGGATTTGGAGGGGGGAAATCCTTAAAGAGTGAATCATTTTGCGAAATCTCAGATTTGATACCACCAAGTTGGTGGTGGATCTCTGTCTAAAGAATCCAGAATAAAGCTGTAGTATTTCTGTCACTATCATGCTGTCTTGGTTCTTGAAGCTTGGAACCTCTAAACATGACATCGGTGGACCCAGTTCCCCAAAACCAGGACAACACCATAGTGTAGTAGAAAACTAAAGATTTATTCTGGCTATTGAGACAGAATGTTTGCCATCCTGGGTTCAGTATTAAAATTAAAGAAAGTTCACTTTGGACCCTCAGAGATACATTGCTATCCTCCAGCCCCCCCCCCCCCCGTTCCAACCACAATCACTTATCTTTGATCCAATTCAAATGGCCATTTATGTTTCTTTCTTTTCCCTCATGTATTATTTTTAAATCTGCCTTTAGGAAGAAATTCATCTCTGTTTCACAGCTCAGATCTATAGCAGGAAGGTTGGAGGTCATAAACTACAACTCCTTTCCACCACCAACTGTCCCTCCCATTTGCTTCCCATGCTTGGATTTAACATAATAAATATCCCCCTCTTAATAGCCCACATCCTATACAGTGTTATTTCACCATATCACCATGCTCTCATATCTTCATTCTTTAATATCATCATATCATGACAAAACCATATATATGGATTCTGGCAAGAGGATTCTCAACCACAGCACCTCTATGACATGCAGTTTCAACATAATTCTTTCAATACTATGAATACCTTGACCAACTGAATTTGACTGGGCAGACAATTTCATCTCATTACTTTTTGGTTGAAGAATTTATTTCTTTGTGTTTGCAAAGGAAAGCATGTAGCCTTTGAAAATTTGGAAACAGGGAAAAACTGGCATATTTTCCCATCTCTACACCTGTTAAGAGAGCCCATGTGGTGTAGTGGTTTGAGTGTTAGATTCTGACTCTACAGACCAGGTTTGAACCCTGATTCAGCCATATAAACCCATGGGAAAGTCACACTCTCTTAGCCTTAGGGGAAGGCAATGATAAACCCTCTTTGAAGAAACTTGCCAAGAATGCCCCTTCATCCTCTGCATGATGATAATGATTATGATGATCACGATTATGGTTTCTGACTCTAATAAAGCAACAACATTTTAAAATTTCCTTTTTCTTAGGTTACTTCAAGATAGATTTTGATTATTAAAATACCCATGCCTGGTGATGTAATGTTGCTATTCCATTTCTAAAGTAGAGAAACAGGCTTAATATAGGGGGAGTAGGGGAAACAAGAATCAGCCAACTTAACAGTATCAGGGGAGTACTTTCCACATAATTGTTTAACCATATGTATCCCAGATTTCATCTGTGAAATGTTGGAAGGTAAGCTTTTAAGAATTGCATCAAAGGAAAAATTCCATAGATCACTTCAGCCTGTTAGAAGTTATGCAGGTGAAAGTTTTTCTTTCATGCAATTCTTAAAAGTGTTTTCAGGTCTTGGTTCTCCTACTAACCACAGCATAAGACAACAGCCCTTAGGACAAGATATAAAATAACATGAGAGAAGAGCAGAGATATTAGAGTTAGCATTCTTTGTGAGTCAACATCCTCTTGTGAGTTATTGCTACCAAGGGATAGTTGCTAAAAATATAAGCACCAAGAATTTATTGGGTAGCTATTAGTATCTTCTGCCAACCTAGAAGTTTGAAAGCATGCAAAGGCAAGTAGATGAATAGGTACCACTTCAGTGGGAAGGTAACAGCATTCGGTGCAGTCATGCTGGCAACGTGACCACCTGAGTCGTCTTTGGACAATGCTGGCTCTTCAGCTCAGTAATGGAGATGAGCACCGCCCCTACAGACAATTACAACTAGACATTCATGTCAAGGGACTATCTTTACCTTTATTAATATTTAAGGGCGGATGCAGATCGGCCATTTGGGGTGGCACAGAGCTGCACAAGGAAGCAGCAGATCGGGGCTGTGGCAACTCCACGCCACAGTCTCAATCCTCCCGTTTGCTGCCCCGAAAAGTGTGGCACCACACCTCTTCAGCATCCTTTCAGCGCAACCTGTTTAAATGCTGCACTGGGAGTGCGTAAGCCATGCAGCATCAAAATGGCATTGGGGTGGGGTTGGGGTGGCTGGTGTGCGGCTGCCTCACCCCAATTCTACCCCTAGGCTGGCCTTTTGGGCCGGTCTGTCTGAGCCCCTTCTCGTAAAGTAAATGATGAGTAATTTCAGATTATAAAGGGTAGTACTGGGGACAAACTAAGCAGCTCTTGGTGCCATATCAAGAAAGATATAATGCAAACAAATGCAGAACAAAAGTGTTCCTTGGATCTAGATCAGGGATAGGCAACCTTTTTGAGCCGGGGGCTGGGTTGCTGTCCCTCAGACAATTGGGGGGGCTGAAGCACCAAAAATTAATTAATTAATTAATTAAAAATTAAAATTAAAAATAATTTTTTTAAAAAAATAAAAAATATGCATGCACACTCTCTCAGCCCCAGAAAAGCCATGGCAAACCCCCTGTGGAGATTTTGCCAAGAAAACCCCAAGAACAAGTAATAACAACAATATCATCATGGCAGGAGCAGCGGCGGCAGCGGCAGGACAGGTCTGGGGCCAGTTCAAAAGGCCTTGGGAGGGCTGCATGCCTACTCCTGATCTAGATAGTAGTGTGATGAGAGATTTAAAACACAACATAGGTGCCTGAACACACAGACAATCTTACATATATATATATATATATATATATATATATATATATATATATATATATATATATATATATATATATATATATATATATACACAGAGATAAATTTCCTCAGCTAGTTGGAAGAAGCCATTATAGTTATCATATTTTGCAGCAGCCTATCAAACATAGCTATAGCAGAAAGAAATACACTAAAGCTTATTGTTTATTCTCAAAAGTGATTGCCTATGCTCAAAATAGAAAAGGGGGGAGGTTGAGAAACCAGATGAACAAAAATACAGTCCATATCACTCCATATCAGCCACCCATGGCTTAAAAGTCTTTTAAAATATATATATATTCCAAAAAGCAAACCTTGATTTTGTCATTTAATAAAAGGGGCACTATTTTACTATGCCATTGTGTATAATGGGACTTCAGCATCCATGGATTTTGTTGTCTACTGGTAGTACTGTAACCTAACCAGGTCCCTTCTGGAAAAAAGCAGCATACAAATGAAACAAACAAATGAACAAATAACCCCAGTAGATACCAAGGGCCAACTGTAACCAGTTTTTGTGCCAAAACTTGATGTCATTAATCTTTATAATAGTGTTAGCATATGTGATTTTTCATAAAATTTTGGACACATGTGGAGTTTCCTCTATGATCCCAGACTGACCTCTGTGAGATGTCAGCCATAATCCCCAAGATGGTAGGTCATGTAGGCACTGAGAGATCTGCCCAGGACAGCTGGAAAATTCCCTACAAGAGAGGTTTGGGAGTTGCCAAAGGGAAAAACCATTATACTGGAAAAGACACTTATTTGTCTTGAGTCTCACATTTAATGGGGCAGTGATCAGGGGCAGTCTCACATTTAATGGGGCAGTGAATTGACCCTTTTCTCTAGCCTCCCTTCCTTGATAGTCTTGAAACCAAATGCATTATCTAGACCAGGGGTAGGCAACCTTTCCCCTTTAAGGACCAAGGGACTTCAGCTCCCAGATGCCTCAGCCATGTTGGCCAATAGTCCCATGTTGGCCAATAGCTCCTGGGATTCTGGGAGCTGAAGTCCCTCGGCCCTTAAAGGGAAAGGTTGCCTGCCCCTGGTCTAGACTGTCCTCACACCTAGGTTTAACAAAACTAATAGGGGTTGCAGACTGCCAGAAATAGTGCAAATTGAGTCCACTTTTAGGGTTAGGGTTAGTGCTAGGGAATCATGGGGATTGTTTTTTTTCTGATACATTGAGCCTTCTCTGTCAGAGAGCTCTGGTGCCACAATAAAATACAGTTCCCATGATTCCCTAACCCTAACCCTAACCCTAAAAGTGGGCTCAATTTGCACTGTTTCTGGCAGTCTAGAACCCCCCTAAGACTATCAATGCCTTTGTCCAGGCTTCAGCCAAGCCGTTTAGTCAATAGCCAGAAGGTAGAAATTTCCTATTTAAACCCTGAGATTTTCAGGCTCCACGTGCTATCTTGAGAGTGCATGCTGACTCCACGTCAGTCTGTACCTTGATCATAGCTCCCTCAGCCATTCTCTCTCCAATTTTGGTGGCCGTGCATCATCATCATCATCATCCACAGCGGATCCTGGAGAAGCCTTCAGGAGTGAGTAACTCTGTCAGTCTGGCCCATCTCAAGCTATTCCCGCTTCCACTCCTTTATTCCTTAGAGTACAGTGTGTGTGTTCACTATATTTGTGTGTGTGCAGTTTTCTCCTTTAATAAATATTTAAACTTTAATTGGAAAACCTGTCTCAGCATCATCCATTGTGGGGTTCCTTAGTCCTCTAGTATACATAATGGTACCCTGTCCTGTGGGGCTTTGTTAGGACCCCACTCTTGCATATTTGAGCTAATTATAATTTTCCCCTAATTAAATCCTTCCTAACAGTGAGGATGAGGAATAAGCAAATCTCATCATACCTCACCATTGCCTTGGCTAACAAGTACGGAAGGGATTTAGGACATTATCACAAATTGTTTTCCTAACGGTCTGGGTACAGGATGTAAACTGAATAGAAAGTTATCACACAGCCCCATTCTCATTCAATATTTATCCTGCACCCATACTCTCCCTCTCCTGTTTCAGCTGAAAACAGGGAAATTCCATTCTCAGCTGGCATGATTGCTTTCAGGCTGCCCCAGGTGGTATGTGTGTGATGATCCTACCCAGTCTCAATCTATCCTTGTGTTCTGATTGGTCAGGACTACCTCCTCCCCTCCTGTCACATGATGACATCATGTACCAGTGCAGTACTACAAACCTCACAGCAACAGTAAGCATGCACAAAACAGGAACAGGTTAAGAATTATCTGAGCATCATTACCTCAACAACAGCAAATGCTGTGCAATAGTATTCATTCTCATAATGTAACATCACACTATTACTAGTCAAATGCAATAATACCCATTCCCATATCGTTAGTTTACAGAACGTTTCTGGGACTCGATTGGAATGTTATAGGCACTAGTACAATAACCTCCTTAGAGTCCAACACCTTAGAGCAGGGGTAGGCAACCTTTCCCCTTTAAGGGCCGAGGGACCTCAGCTCCCAGAAGCCTCAGCCATGTTGGCCAATAGTCCCATGTTGGCTAATAGCTCCTGGGATTCTGGGAGCTGAAGTCCCTCAGCTCTTAAAGGGGAAAGGTTGCCTACTCCTGCCTTAGAGTGTCACACACTCTTCCCTGCTCTATAATATTTGTATATTTGGAAAATAAAACCAATGCTCTTAGGGCAAGGAGCTCTACAAAGCTTGGTAATTCCATTGTTTGACTCAAGGAAAATGTATCAGGAACTTCCACTTCAAGCACATCCTCATGGCCATAAGTGCTTAGAATTAAATTCTTCTCTTTAAAGGGTGCTGAAATCTACAAACAATACTATAATCTGTAGTGTTTCTGTGGTTCTCAAGCTTAGTAGCAGATGTTTGTTAACAAGAAATCCCCTCTAAGATTGGACTAAAGCTTTTTTTCCAACCTTAAAAAAGGTGCTGATGGTTTACATGTCCCACCACTGAGCCAATGCTCATGAATGACAGAAGTTTTAGGCCAAAATAACAGCAGCTGTAGCAATACCAACAGGCATCCTATCCATTACTGGGCAAACCTGATCTATGCACAGAATGGTCCCAATTTTTTTACATTTTTTCCCCATATATATAGCTTTCTTTGTGCACCACTCTAACTTTTCTTCAGGGGAATAGTTTCTACCTAGCCAGAATTTTGATTAGGAGATACTTCAAATTTCCTGAGATGTTCTTGCATAATGTGTGCTATTTAGCAGAGCCTGC